CTTGTTCCGCACAAGTCTTACAAGCCAGGAGATTTGATATGGTCGGAAGAGGCTCTGGTGTATGCACTTCATGTCAAATCAAGCTCACAATACTGCGCATCCTGCCTGCTTTCGATCAACCAGTGTCCACTATTCCGCTGTTCTAAATGCAAACGCATCTTCTACTGTAGCAGAGTGTGTCAGAAATCTCATTGGGCTTCACACAAATGCGAATGCAGTTGCATAGTCTCTAGTGGTACTTTTCCTACTGCTACTATCCGACTTCTCTTCAACATTATTTCTTCGAAGGTAAAGGCACTTCCACTATGCCATGGAATTCTTTTCAGATCTATGAGGGTAATCCATTTCTTGAGTCGCTCGTCTCTCGTGAGTCCATCTTACTCAGATTTTATGTATCTTTAGATGTTGAAGAGCTGACTGCCGACAATGATACCAGAGTAATAATGGAGCAAGCTTACGCCATGCTAGTGATGTTTTCTAATAAAAATTTATGTGTTTCTAAGCCGTATTTCTTCCGTCTTTTTGGGAAGGCTAAAATAAATGCCTTCCAACTGACAAATGAGTCTGGAGATGAGATTGGTGTTGCCTTGTTCGAGAGGTTCGTATTTCTACCATCTAATTCCTAAGCCTAAACTTACAGATCTGCCAAGCTAGATCATTCCTGTTCACCCAATGCAGACTTCGCTTTCATTGGGAAACGAATCAAAGTCATTGCGAGTGAAGAGATACTTGATGTATCCCAGGTTTGTTACGTCCCATCTATAAGACATCTGACTTTACAATAGATACGGATATCTTATGTAGATCTTCTAGCGTCAATGAAAAAACGTCGGGAAGAGCTTTCCGATGGATACTTTTTTCTCTGCAACTGTACCCGTTGTTCGGATCTTGAACTGGTAGGCGATTTCGAAACCATAGTGAACTTGTGCTAGGATTTTGACACTCGAATTCCTCCATGCTGTGGAGAGCGCATGAGAGGCTTAAGGTCCGATAACTCTGAGAGTGCGAGGGTTGTTTCGTGGCCGTCAGAGGCAAATGCTCTTCTTCCTGCCCTAGCTATGTACTCAACGGTTGCAGCGGAAGAGGTCTACGTCTGCGAGACGTGTCACAGATCTTACAACGCTGCCGTCTTTGATGCTTTGGAATGTCGGTGCTATGAGATCAACACACTTGAAGGTATTGTCCTTATAAATTTGGTTCAAATTAGGCGTGCAAGGATAGTTTGCCTACGGTCTTATTTGTAATTAAACAACTGAAAGGTGGTTAAAGGCATTTCAATTCTTTTCACACCCCCGTTGATGAATGCTTACGTACAGGGTGAGATTTGTTAGATCTTGGTGTGATTTAGGATGAACTCTGTTTGGCAGGCCTGTCAGTCAGTATTTTCATATGTAACTGTGCACCCATGTTAGGAGAAGTTAAGACACACTGCTATATCTCGGTCCTGGGTTTTTCCACAGACGCGGTTGAACTCTACAAAGCCTGCGCTGCTGCCGACATTACTGGCAATAATGAATATCTGCGTCTTGTCTATAAACATCAGGACAGCTTACCCCTACTGCGTCTCTGTCGTACTATGGTGCTAACTTACAAGGTGAATAACGACAACGTGAATGGTATGCGCAAAGCTGCTTTTGGCTGAAATGTGAAAGGGTCTGTGGCACAGAATCTTAGAATCTAGATTAAAAAGCATTGTACCTTCAGAACTAGTGGCGAAATCCGAACAACAGGTTTCTGTTCTTTTTTGTCGTTTATTATCCATGCGATAGAAAGCGAAGTCTGACTGCACAAGCTTCTTTATTTTTTTGGATTTTATACATATGAGCCCGATTACTGTTGAGAACCCGACAAAAATATTCAAGCCTTAGAGCGGAAGCCTGTTGTGGATGTTCTGTATGGCCAAGTCTCCACTACTCACGAAACCTTTTGAACTCTCTTGACCTTAACACAGATATTAGCTGCCGATCAAGAGAAAGTCAGCGAAAGTGTGGGTC